CTCTCGTAACCAAAAATCTGATCTCTTTTTCTATGAGTTTGATTTGAAGTATATTTGACCTACAACACTATGTAGTTCCTGTTACACAACATAGTGATTTGATATTTCTAAACATTTCAAAATGATCATCATGATAAGTCTAGTTACCATGTAATATATAGTTACTAACTATAAAGTTTTAACTATATTTTCCACACTATACATTTCATACTCATGACTCATTTATTTTGGAATTTTGTACCTCTTAATCTCCCTCACCCATATCTCTCTTCCCCCCAATCCCCTCCTCTCTGGCAACCACCTGTTTGTTCTCTGTATCTGTAACGCTGTTTCTATTTTATGTTTATCCATGTTTTTTTTTAGTCCACTTATATGCAAAATGATACAGTATTTTTTTTCTCTGACTTATTTTACTCAGCACAATACCTTCAGGGTCCTACATGCTGTCACAGATAGCAAGATTCCATTCTTTTTTATAGCTGTGTAATGTTCCACTCTGTATACATACCACATTTTCTGTATCTGCTTACCTACTGATGGGCACTTAGGTTGCTTCCATATCTTGACTATTGTAAATAATGCTGTAATGAACATAGGGGTGCATATATCTTTTCTAATAAGTGTTTTCATTTTCTTTGGATATATAACCAAGAGTGGAACTGCTGGATCATATGGTGGTTCTATTTTTAATCTTGAGGAGTCTCCATACTGTTTTCCACAGTGGCCACACCAATTTATAGTCCCACCAACAGTTTACAAGTGTTCCCTTTTTTCCACACGCTCACCAACACTTATTAATGATCTTTTTGATGACAGCCATTCTGACAGGTGTGACATGATATCTCCCTGTGGTTTTGATTTGCATTTCCCTGATGATTAGCAATATTAAGCATCTTTTAATGTGCCCATTGGCCATTTGTAAGTTTTCTTTGGAAAATGTCTATTCAGATCCTCTCTAGGGTTTATTAATAGTAGAAATCATAGTGGACCCCCATTTGTGTGTCCAGAGGTGACTTCTCCTCAGGCCAAGAAAGCCAACCCCTGTATTTACAGTGGCTCTCAACTGTTGTTATGCCCCAGGTCCCTGGAGGGCTGTGACACCATCCTGGCTGTCCCAGGAGAATCAGGGCATTATTGTCAATCTGGGGCCCATTCTTGGTAGCTCAGGTTGGCTTGATAAAAGTCCCCAGGTCATTTGGACACCCACCCCCACAAAGGTACCTGCTCACCACTCCTGCTCCTACTAAGATTTACTGCTTTAGAGCAGTGAGTCGTAACTGAGTGCACATATTAGCATCTCCAAGGAGCTCTGTTAAAGTTACATGCTCTACAAACCATTGCAGACCTGATGAATCATAATTACCCTGGTGGAGCCCTGGTAAGTGTATTTCACCTTCCCAGGCAATGCTGATATACAGGCCTGGCTAAGAATTATTGTCTTTGTGAATATCTCTCTGCTCAATGCTGTTTCACTCAGCAAGCACAGGATTAAGTCTTCTAGCAAAAAACAAAAACAAAAACAAAAACAAAAAACGATAATGGCATCCACATAGCTTTTTAAATCTCAGAGATACTGACCCTGTGGGTCAAACTAAGGAGGCAGAACCCTTGGTGATAAGGCACATGTGTTAAGAGGAAGAACTGCATCTAAAAGGGCTCTGCGTGTAGCTCTGAACATAGCGTGCACTAGGCACTTAACCAAAGGCAGCTATTGTTGTCATCAATAATTGTTGTGTATTGGTCTCAGGGATCCTAGCTCCTTGGAAGGCCTGTTTTTCCATTTTAGGAGAAACGACTCCAAACCCAGGAATTAAGAAATCGACTGGCTGTTTGGGAAGCGTTTAGAAAATGTGACAAGAGGTGTCATACACAGGCCAGCAGCAGAGATTCCAAGAAAGAAAAGCACCCTGGCCTCTGTTTTCATTTCCCTCTTTGCTTCTGAAATGAGATGGGAAAGGAGAGATGTATGCTGGCAGCTAGAGTGGTGATGGGAGGCGATGGCCTCTCAGAACTCAGCCCCTAAGGTCTGTGAGCAACACGGTGAACCGCAGACTGCCAAGGGCTTTGATGTTTGTCTCTCTTAGCATTTATACACTTGAGGTTTGGGGCTCCTGGTTGCCGCACAAAGATAAGTGTAACCACATTTCCAACTGAGCCTACTGCAAGGTCTCTGCTCCCTGCCAAGAGACACAGAGCTGAGACTTGGTTAGAAGATGGGAAATAATGGACTCAACAGATGGAGGAAATTTTCTTTAGATGCTCCAGAAAAGGGGGTTATAAAAGACTCCTCAGAATTAAGGCTAGAAGAGGAGATCATCCCACTGGAGCAAAGATTGTGAGATACAGGCACTGAAGTCACATGGAACACCCGGGAAGTACTTTGAGAAGTGCAGACTTCAGGACTATCTACATCAAGAGCAAAAGCATCAGTCACTGTATCTCTGGCCTGTATCACGGGTGGGGGCTGCAGAGCTCAGCTGCGGTTGCAGGTGATGCCCAAGGTCTTTCATTTAGTCCTCAGCCCCTGAGCCTGAACCTTACTGGGCAGAGAGGCAGTCTGTTCAATCCAATTTCCAGCTTAGTTGACTACATAAAGTATTTCGGTTTAGTGGGTCCTTAAATAAGACAATTTTTCTTTAGTTCTAACCTCTCTCCTGCTGACAGTTCCTATCCTCCAGGGCCTTACCCCTAAACTGCCTGCTATTTATTTGGAAAGTACAGATAGCACAATACAAGCTGGTACTCTGGCAACCGTGCAAATCTATCACAGGATATCTAGTACACGGAGGAAAACTGCATTCACCCCCCCCCCCAACTCCATGCTATTCCTAGCAGACAGAACATGGAAAATACTCTCTCTTCTCTTGGCCACCACCCTCCCCTTACTGAAAGATAATGTGTGTACATCCGAAATGGGGATGTGGAGTCTAGCTTTCTGGCCTCAACAAAGACAATAATTCAGAGCAGACCAGAACTGAGCAACGAGCCAGGCAGGATCAGGCCTCTGGGGTCTGCGGGAAGGGTGGGCTGGCCTGTGCGGGTCCAGGGTGGGATGACAGTTCTGGGCTCTGATGCCTGCAGAACCCTTCCTGATGTGGCTTTATCAGATGAAACCTTACTCCCGCCGGTGGGAGGGTATGCTTTAGGAAGATTTCTGCAACACGACAAAGTGCTATTTAAAAATCTGGGTTCTCCTTTCCTGAGCTTGGGCAAAAAAAAAAAAAAAAACTTAGCCCTGAGATGGGAGAAGGTGCTTGTAGGCAAAGGACTGCAGGAGCGGTAGAAGGCTCCCGGCACCGGCGAGTAGCTTCACAGCGGTGACACCGAGCGGCCGGCAGGTGTCAGTGCGCCCTCGCTCTGCCAGCGAGCGCCGCTTCCGCCTCCACGACCCCTCCTCACCGCTGTCCAGCCGGTGAGGTTCGCACCCCGGGCCTCCCTGATCCCTCAGACAGTTCTGTGGCTGGGACCACATGTGGCCGCCTCTCCCCAAGGCAGAGCTCTGACCTCTGACGGGGCCCGCTCCTCACGGGGTGCCTCCCATTGAGCCCCAGGGGTTGGATCCGAACCTGTGCCTTCCTCTATCACCAGCTCCACTCATCCCGCCGCCGGGAGAACTTGCGGACGAGAGCAGCCCGGTCCAGGGCGAGGCTGCTCCGGATGCGACCCTTACCGGTGGTTGCTTCTCCTCATTCGGCTGGGGGTCCCCAAAACGCTTTCCTCCCGGGTCCCACTCAACCCGATATGGACACTCCCAGGTGCTGGATGCGATGCTCGGCCGGCCTGGAGATGCTCGGCGAATTCCCAGGGGGGACCTCTCCGCACTCCCTGGGCAAGCTCTTTAAATCCCTCGCTTAGGGTAACCCCTCCCTCCCTGGCCAAAGGGCTCGTCTCGCCAAGGGGGCAAGGCTCCAGTGGGTCCCGCGCGGGACGCGGGCTCCAGACCAGCGGAGGGGAGGCGCAAGGGGCGGGGAGGGTCGGTTTCCCACGTGGGGGCTGACGCCGGCTGCTCGGCAACGCGGGCTTGATCCTGGGGCTATAAAACCAGTCCACCGCGAGCGCCGCGGAGAAGCAGCGGCTCCGGCTTCGGTGCAGACGCCCAGCAGCCGGCGCGCCGCCGCCCGGCCACCCCCTGCACCTTCTCCCCTCAGCCCTGCGCTGCTGCCCCAACTCACGCTGCCCTCGGACCCCGACCAGTCCGGTCGCGCTCAGCGCCCAAAGCTCGCAGGGCCGACGCCCAGGAGACCCCTCTACCTCTGCCGCGGCTCCTGGAGCCGATCGCCCACCTGCCCCGGCCCGCCTGAGGACGGGGGTGCCTTCATGCGGCCCCGACACCCCTCACCCTGCCGCCGCCGCCGCCCCCAAGCTCCGCGCGCTGCGCCCCAGCCCCAGCAGGGCACGCAACTTTGGAAGTCCCGCGGCTCTCCGAGAGGCGGCAGAGTCCGCACTCTGGCCCCAGCTCGGGCCCCACCGGCCCCGCCGCGTCTAGGGGAAGCGAGAGAGTCGGTAATTGCTTCGGGGATGTAAAGAGACAGACATAGGACCCCAAGCCAGCATCAGCACCCCTCGGCTGCCTCCCGGGGTGGGGCGGGCCCCGCACACGGTAAGACCTCTTGCTTTCGCTCAGGCTCGAGTCAAAGATATAGATAGAGATATATTTAATTTCCTGTCATCCTTCCGAGTCATCAGGACACCGACGATTTTTGTCCTCCTTTCTTCAAGAATAAATCTCTTCTTTCCCCATCGGCTCGACCTACTCTCTCCCGCCGCTTAGAAATAAAACTTGGCTCTGTTTAGGAGCTGGGAGCAAGAAGGCGCCGACCCAGAGCGCCCGACGCACGGGCGGGGCGCGGTTGGCAGGAGCCCGGCCCATGGTCCGCTAGCGATCCCCCAGCTCGGGCCGGCCTCCTTGAGGCCCCTTCCCCATGTGAGGCGCGGCGGGGCGAGCGGGGCGCAGGAGGAAGAGGAGGACCCACGGGCGCCGGGCCGGAAGGCAGCTGGCAGCAGGCCCAGGCGAGCGGGCATCCGCGTTCATGTTCCGCCAGGAGCAGCCGCTGGCCGAGGGCAGCTTTGCGCCCATGGGCTCCCTGCAGCCGGACGCGGGCAACGCAAGCTGGAACGGGACCGAGGCGCCGGGGGCCGGCGCCCGGGCCACCCCCTACTCCCTGCAGGTGACGCTGACGCTGGTGTGCCTGGCCGGCCTGCTCATGCTGTTCACTGTGTTCGGAAACGTGCTTGTCATCATTGCCGTGTTCACAAGCCGCGCGCTCAAGGCGCCCCAGAACCTCTTCCTGGTGTCTCTGGCCTCGGCCGACATCCTGGTGGCCACGCTTGTCATCCCTTTCTCGCTGGCCAACGAGGTCATGGGCTACTGGTATTTCGGCAAGGCGTGGTGTGAGATCTACCTGGCACTCGACGTGCTCTTCTGCACGTCGTCCATTGTGCACCTGTGTGCCATCAGCCTGGATCGTTACTGGTCCATCTCCCAGGCCATCGAATACAACCTGAAGCGCACGCCACGTCGCATCAAGGCCATCATCTTCACCGTGTGGGTTATCTCGGCCGTTATCTCCTTTCCGCCGCTCATCTCCTTCGAGAAGAAGAAACGCGGCAGTGGCCAGCAGCCGGCCGAGCCGCGCTGCGAGATCAACGACCAGAAGTGGTATGTCATCTCGTCCTGCATCGGCTCTTTCTTCGCACCCTGCCTCATCATGATCCTGGTCTATGTTCGCACCTACCAGATCGCCAAGCGCCGCACCCGCGTGCCT